TTTTTATCAGTCTTCTGCCACTCTTTGCTTCCATAGTTTACTGTTTTTTAGAAAAAAGGTTTGTTGTGATTTTGGTACGAGGGATCATTGAATATTGTTTGAAATTATTTATTTATTTTTTTATAAAAAAACAATTGCAATTATACCAACGCTGATTTATATTTGGCTCTAGATAAGCAATATGCATTCCTGCTATATTCTTTATCACTCTTTCAATATTTTCACCAGAATCAATATCATGACCAAACTTGACATATCTCTTAATAGCATGGGTTATCCAAAAGAATGTTAGCTCAAAAATACTATATAATGAATTATAACAAATAAAAATCTAAAATAGCAATTTTGAGTAAAAAAAAAAAATTATCACTTAAAATTTTCATTTATCATTCTCTCTTTTTTCTTTTTTTTTTTTTTTTTTTATTTATTTTTTTCTCTTTTTTTTTATTTATTATTATTATTATTATTTTTAATACTTACTTATACATAATGTGAATCTATTAAAGTTTTAGCTTCACCAGCCTCTAGGAATAACCATTTCCTTACAGAAATGCTATACTACTTTTTCTATTTTTCTAAGATTATTATCAACTCAGTATTATGATAGTGAGGGCTATTGTCTGAAACAATAGTGATTTATTTTGGTACATGATCTAGGCTTTCAATTACAGCATTAAGTGAGGATGCAGTAAACCAATCATCTTGCTTGGTATAATTGCTCCAGTAATTATATACTTGAATATCAAGATTATTAGTTTCTGCATTTTTAGTGTATATAAGAACAGAGTGGAGTGTTCACTCATGTTTTTCAAAGAACTCAGATTTTATTTCTCATACACTCTGTGGGGGGATTCTTATCTTATAGTCCACAATAAGCAAAGCACTATCCGCATCAAGTTGAGCAAGTTCAATATTTAATTGGGCATTAAGATACGTCTTACATGCATGGAGAGCCATAAAATAGATTAGTTGATTTTGGTACTCAATTAAAGATTCATAAAATTCATTGTCAATCTTTGCCTTTAAATCACTAAACAAGGTAAACAATTCATCACAATTTTTACAAATCTTGGGATGGTCTAAATGGCAATTATCAAAAGCTTGTTAGAGACAATGGCTTATGCATAGTGAATATAGAGCAACTTCTATTGATGATACTTTTAAATTTGTAGTGAAATCTTTACGCAGATATTATCACAAATTTTGAGCTATTTTATATATTTTTATTTTTTTTATTTTTTTTTATTTTTTTATTTTTTTTTTTTAAGGTGAGGCCTTGCTCATATCTTTATTAGCAATTTATTTGGGTAATTATAATAAAAACCCCATTTGTACAGGACAAATAATATAAACTACATGCAAGAATGAGAGCTCAGACTAATTA